GGCAAGAGATCAGTCCAGGACACACTAAGACATTTTTAAGGCGGGTACCTATTTAATTGACTGAAAGTGATGTGGCACAGAGAGTGATGAGGTGTGGAGAACCAAGAATCTTTCTCTTTTTTATGTTGGGCTTCAATTCGTATTGAAGATAATAGTCCTTGAATTTTTGCAGTGAGAATTTCATGTTCTTCTCAATTTCAGCAAGCAAGATTGTGTCATCTACATAACATAGGCTGTTGATGAATCTTCCTCTAATCCTAATGCCACATTCATCCTCATAAATCCCAGCTTTCTGAATGATCTGTTCTGCATACATATTGAAAAAGTATAGAGACAAGATGCATCCCAGATGCACTCCTTTCCTGATTTTGAACCATGTAATGTTTCCTTGCTCTTTTCTGAAGATTCCTTCCTGGTCCAAGCATAGATTTCACATGAGCACATCAAGTGTTTTGGGATTCCCATTCTCCTCTAGGTTAGCTACAATTTGTTGTGATCCACACAGTGAAGAGCCTTTGCATAGTCAATGAAACACTGATAGACATTCCTCTAGTACTCTTTGCTTTCAGCCAAGATCCATCTGACATTGGCAATAATGTCTCTAGTGCCCCCATTTCTTCTAAACTCAAATTGTATTTCTAGCAGTTCCCTGTTGAAGTACTATTTCAGTTGTTCTTGGATAATCTTCAGAAGTTTTGGAGCAGAAGCTCAGGGGCAAGAACCTTTCATCAGTACTACTTTAGATAAATATCCTTTCCTATATTGGTACATGGGATTTGGACTTAGAGCCTCCTAAACTGGAGGCAGGCAGCTGAGTGAGAGAACAGCACCAGCAGGAGGTGCAGGGCATCACAGAAGTGATTAAAGGCCTAAGCAATTGTATTAAGAGTTGCTAGAAGAAGTGAGGTGCTGGAAAGGGTAAGCAGTACAAAGGGATGCTGATAGACAAGAGAAAGGGTAGGGAAAAGACACATGTGCAAGGTGGGTGCAGGGGTTGGGGTTATGGGCAACACTGAATCCACTGGGAACTTTTGTAAGAGGGAAGTATCTTCCATCTGCTCTTTTTGTAAAATGCTTGTCTGTCAGATAATCATCTAATGCTGAGCAACCAAAGTAAGGCAGATTAGGAAGATGTATTGGCCATTTACTTCTGAAATAACAGGCCTTCAAAAACTCCATGGACAACAGCAAACAGCCTAAAAGACCCCATACGCTAAGGTCTTTGTATAAAAAGCACAAATCCAACCAGGCGTTTGATTAGTTTTAAACAAGTAGCTGTTTCCAGAGTCCTTAGTAGCACATACATTCTACTGAACCTTAGATTTCATATTATTCAACATAACAAAGTTCATAAGTTATAGTCCAAGCTAATAGTTATAGTCTGTATTTTTGTTAGGGTTATCAATCAGCAAAGGCTTTTAAAATAGCAAATAGCTGACCAAAAATTATCTCATCTCCTAATTCTTTCTAATGCATCCATTAATTAAATAAGTTAAAGGGGGAAGAGCCCTTTCTGAAACCAGAACATTAAACAATGAACTGGTTTCACACAAAAAAAGTCCTTAGTAATCCTTTCATTTACTATTTCCTTTGTACTTAATGAATACTCCAGGAGTTTATACATCTTTTAGTCTGTAAAATCTGTCAGTCAGAATTCTAGGAGTATTTATTCACTTCACACTGCAAATATCACTGCCCATTCTTGAAATTCAAAATGCTTCATCTTTTTGCTGGAATATTTTTATTGAATGTCTCAATAAATCATCAGAACAAAAGCTTATCTCCAGATTTAAAAAGATGGCATGGTTAAGCTATAATAATAATAATAATAATAATAATAATAATACATTCTTAAAAGAGAAAAATCTAATCCTAATGCAAAGCTAAACATGGCCAATTTAAAAACTTTAGCCATATCTCGAAGTACTGTCTAAAAGCCTTAGGTAAAACATTTAATAATGTTGAGACATAATAGTATATATTAAGAATATAGATAAATATGCGATTAAGTTTCTAAACATTTGAATTAAGCTTTAATAGGTAAGCAGAGTAATTTTGTGGGCTTTATTAGGAGAAATAAAAAAACACAACGAATTGTGATCAGGTTATTAACCAGAACAACTAAAATTATTACATAGTCTAGGCATTTGTTGTGTAGCACTAAGCAAAAATGAATGAGGCAATTTTAACAAAAAATATATTAACGTACAAAAAAAATTCTGCTGGTTCTCTTATTTGGTAATCCAATGAGAGGTCAATTCTTGATCTTTCCAACAGATTGCACGGAATAGACTAAAAATGTTTCTGAAAGTTTTTAAAAAATGGCATTAAATAATTAAACTCAACAGAGACGCTCAAGAATTAACCCACACAATAAAACAACTTGACCTCACAGATATTTATAGGCTAATGCACTAAAAAGCCTTCCACAGTATACCTTCTTCTTCAATGTGCATGGAACATTCTCCAGAATAGATCACATTTTAGGTCACAAAACAAGCAACAATAAATTAAGAAATATAGAAATAAAAGAAAGCATTTTCTCAGACCACAATGGTACAAAATTAGAAATTAATAACAAGAGGGTAAAGAAAGAAAAAAAAACCCATATATTTGGAAGCTGAACAACACCTTGCTTGAACATGAGCGAGTCCTAAAAGAAACAACAACAACAACAAAAATGAACTGAAAAAGTTTCTTGAAACAAATGACAATGAAAACACCACCTATCAAAACTTCTGGGAAACAGTCAAAGCAATAATCAGAGGTCAATTTATGGCAATAAACCAACATATCAAAAGGCAGGAAAAAATGACCATTGACTCTATAACCCAACATCTCCAACAAATTGAGAAAGAACAGCAAGAAAACCTGACACCCTCTTAAAAAAAAACCCTGAAATTATAAAAATTAGAGCAGAAATAAAGGAAATAGAAAACTGGAAAACATTTGAAACTATCAACAAAACAAGGAGTTGGTTCTTTGAAAAGGTCAATGAAATCAACAAACCACTAGCAAAACTAGCAAAGGAAAAGAAGGAAAAGACACAAATAATCCAAATATGAGATGAAATGGGCAATATCACAACAGAACCAATTAAAATAAAAAGGCTAACATTGGAATTTTATGAACAATTATACTCAAACTAATATGAAAACCTAGAGGAAATGGACAAATACTTAGAAATTCACAACCTACCTAAACTGACACTAACCCAAATTGAACACCTGAACAGACCCATTACAAAAGATGAAACTGAAAAGATAATGCAACAACTTCCAGCCAAAAAAAGTACTGGACCAGATGGTTTTACAAGTGAATTTTATCAAACATTCAGAGGAGATCTGTCACCAATTCTAAATAACATATTTCAGAAAATAGGAAAGGAAGTCATTCTCCCAGACTCATTCTATGAAGTAAACATATCCTTCATACCAAAGCCAGGTAAAGATACCCCTAAACAGAAAACTATAGGCCAATATCTCTCATGAATATTGATGCAAAAATCCTGAACAAAATCTTGACCAATAGAATCCAACGATATATTAAAAAAAATCACCATGACCAAGTGGTATTCATAACAGGTATGCAAGGATGGTTCAACATACAAAAAACAATCAATGTAATTAATCACATTAACAAAGCAAAGAACAAGAACCACATGATTTTAAAATTGGTGCAGAAAAGGCCTTTGAAAAATATCCCACTTTCCTGATTAAAACATTCAACAAAATAGGATTAGCAGGGAATTTCTTCAACATAGTAAAAAGTATATATGCAAACCCAGAGCCAAAATTGCTCTCAAGGAAGAGAGATTAAAGCCATTCCCTTTGACAACAGGAGCTAGGCAAGGATGCCACTGTCACCTCTCCTATTCAATATTGTATTGATAATCTTAGCAATAGCAATAAGGCAAAAGAAGGAAATAAGAAGTATCCAAATTGGCAAAGAGGAGTTAAAATTATTTCTCTATGCAGATGATATGATAGTATACTTAGAAAACCCTGAAGACTCAGCTAGAAAACTACCGGATATAGTTAACCAATTCAGCAAAGTGGCTGAATACAAGATCAACATACAAAAATCAATTGGATTTCTCTACAGTGACAAAGAGAATACAGAATTGAAGGTAAGAAAAACAATACCCTTCACAATTGTTAATCACAAGATTAAATACTTAGGAGTAAACCTAACTAGAAGCACAAAGGATCTATTAAAATAACATTACAAAACTTCATTACTACAAGAAACAAAAAGAGACCTGGAGAAGTGGAAGAATAACTCTTGCTCATGGATAAGAAGACTCAATATTGTGAAAATGACAATACTACCCAAAGACAATTTACACGTTCAATGCAATCCCAATATAAATACTAATTCCATTCTTCAACTAGATGGAAAAGGCAATCTCCAATTTCATTCGGAATGGAAAGAGGCCCAGGATAAGCAAAACATTCCTTAAAAAGAGAAACAAGGTAAAGAGGCATCTCGCTCCCTGATTTGAAATCCTACTACACTGCCATGGTGGTCAAGACAGTGTGGTGCTGGTACAATAACAGACACATGGATCAATGGGATAGAACTGAGAATCCAGAAATCAGCCCATCTACCTATGGTCGACTGATTTTTTTATATGGAGATGGAATCAGTTAAGTTGGGAAATGACAGCCTTTTTAACAATTGGTGTTGGCAAAATTGGAAAACTATCTGCAGAAAACTCAAGCAAGATTCACACCTAACTCTATACACAAAAACCAACTCAAAGTGGATCATGGACCTAGGACTAAAACCAAGGACTATAAACTTCATTAAAGTAAAGCTTGGAAGAACTCTAGAAGTCCTAACCCACAACATCTTCCAAACATCCCAAAAAATCCAGGAGAGGATAAAATAGATGAATGGGACCTTCTAAGAAGTAAATGCCTATGCAAGTCCAAAAACTTCTCCAACAGAGTAAAAAAGGAAGCCACAGACTGGGAATGTGATGTCTGCTAAGGGACTTATATCTAGAATATATCAAATTCTTAAGTACCTCAAGTTAAAGGTAAATAACCGAATTGAAAAAAGGGCGCAGAATTTGAACAAACAGTTCAACAAAGAAGACATTCAGAAGGCCAACAGGCACATGAAGAAATGTTCAAAATCCCTAGCTCTAAGAGAGATGCAAATCAAAGCAAATATGAGATATCATCTCACGCCAGTAAAAATAGCAAAATTTGACAGAACAGCAGACAGCAAATGCTGGCGAGGTTGCGGAGAAACTGGAACATTTATTCACTGTTGGTGGGAGTGTAAAATGGTGCAACCACTATGGAAGGCTATATGGCTATTTCTCAAAAAGTTGCAAATAGAGATACCATTTGACCCAGCACTTCCACTACTTGGAATATACCCTAAGGAAACCATAACCACCATCCAAGCAGATATATGCACACCTATGTTTATTGTGGCTTTGTTCAAAATATTAAAGATTTGGAAACAACCCAAGTGCCCATCAACAAACGAATAGATAGAGAAGCTCTGGTATATTCACACAATGGAATACTATGCTGCATTGAAAAACAAGGAACTCATGAAATATTACACAAAATTGGTGACCCTGGAGGACATTATGCTGAGTGAAATATCTCAGTCACAAATGGAAAAGTATTGCATAGGGCCACTGTTGTATAACAGGACTGACATCGGGGTTGAGGGAAGACTGAGAAAGAGAGGATAAAAAATGTATACTTCATTGAAAGAGATGATGGACAGGATTTTTTAAAAGGGATATTTGATTAGGTATTATTGCCATCACAGGAGCCCAGAATGAAGGCTGAACAGTGGAGTGGACTTGGGGGGAGGGATTGTATAACAATGAAAGAATTTTTCCTTTATTTTTCAAAGGGAAGAGCAAATTAGGGGGAGGGAGTGAACAGGAAGAAAAGTGCAACAATAAATGAATGGAAACCCTAAGTCTGTGTAAACTTTCATAAAAATTATTTTTTAAAGTTTTTATTGTTGGAAGCAGAAGGATTATAGATTTTGTTGAATGCAGCCACGTCCATGGACTGCACATAGTCTTCAGAAGCAGTTATTTTTAATTCCAGCATATCTGTGTAAACTTTATCATCTTCAACTACACTCTGTATCTGAAGCTTCTTAATACCATATGCCACAGGTACTAGCTTGGAAGAGCCCCACACCAAGCCGTCTGCCTGAATACCTCTGACACATTCTTCTAGTTTTGCCATGTCAGTTTCATCATCCCACGGCTTCACATCTATTAAGATAGATGACTTGGCAACTAGTGCAGGTTTTTTGGCTTTCTTTGACTCATACTGAGCAAGACACTCTTCTCTTAGCTTCTTTGCTTCCTCGCTTTCCTCCTCACCATTAGATCCAAAGAGATCAATGTCATAGTCATCTTTACTGTCTGCAGCCCCAGTTCCTGTGGTGTCTTCCACATCAACAGGGCCGTATTTGCCCAATAATTTCTTCACTCCTGGAAGGCTGGCCTTTTCCTTCTCATAAGACCGGATGTGATTTTACCAACGCAGGGCATGACACAGGTCGGAAGGTGGGGGCCTGGAGATGGCTTCAAACACCACCACGTCTGCTTGCGACGGCACATACCCCTTGATGTAGCTCTTGTCCACGAGGTAATTGTTGAGGACCTGGAGGCCGGCGCTGGTCTTGAGGTCTCTGAAGCCCATGATGTCAGCTGTACGTGGAGCTAGGTGACAGCGGAGGAAAAGAGGGAAGGAAGTGAACACCAAGCATGGAGGGGATAGTAAAATTAATTTTTTAAAATGGCAGTAAATAATTAAAGATATTCCCAATTATTTGCTTTAGTCACTACCTAATATGAAAACAACAAAAAAATCCTCAAATTACACCATCAAGATTTAACTAGAAACATAAAAACTTTGACCATGTCATACAACTTCAGTCTCTTCAACAAATTACTTTCAATACGAATTACACCTCAGCATCAAGAAAACAACAACAAAAAATTAATTCCACAATTGAACCAAGAAACAACATCATGATAAATGGAAAAAGAGTAAAGGTGGCAAAGATTTAATATTATTTGGATCCATAGTCAACATACCCAACAGAAGCAGCAGTCCAATTGATTATATTAGACAAATCTGGTATCATGGGCCTCTTTCAATATTTAAAGAGAAAGATTGTTGCTTTAAAGACTAAGATATACCCAGTCCGATCCATATGAAGGAATAATTTCTATTAAAAATCAAGATAGAACAGATGGAACATATATTAAGTGAGTCAGAAGATAAGAACCTAAATGGGAACTTGTTGTAGTTATGTGCTGTCAAGTCGCTTGCGACTCATAGCGACACTATGTACAACAGCCCTAAACTCTGTTCTGTCCTGTGCCAATCTCACTGTCTCTGACACTCCCATCCCGATTATCCCAGTCATTGAATCAATCCACTTCATAGAGAGCCTTCCCCTCCTGTGCTGTCCCTCCAACCTCCCAAGCATGATGTCCTCCTCCAAGGACTGGTCTCTCCTCACAACATGTCCAAAGTATGTTAGATAGAGCCTCAGAATCGTTACCTCCAAGGAGCCACCCGGTTTGACCCTTTCCAATATGAATATCTTTGTTTTCCTAGCAGTCCATGGTACTCTCAATACTCTTCTCCAGCACCACAGCTAAAAGGCATCAATTCTCCTTCTATATTCCTTGGTCGTTGTCCAACTCTCTGATGCATAACAAGTGATTGCGAAGACCATGGCCTGTATCAGACGTACTTTAATCTCCAGAGAGACACCATTGCTCTTCAGTACTTTGGAGAGGTCCCTAAGAGCAGACTTTACCACGGCAATGAGCCTTTTAATTTTCTGGCTACTGGTGCCAAGAGTGTTGACTATGGATCCAAGCAAACTAAAGCTGTGAATAGTCTCAATCTTTTCACCATCCATCTTGATGCTGCCAATCATTCCAGTGGTGAGAATCTTTATCTTCTTGACATTGAGCCTCAATCCATATTGGAAGCTGCAGTCCTTGACCTCTGCAGCAGGTGCTTCAGGTCCTCCTCAGTTTCAGGAAGCTGGGTTGTGTCATCTGCATAACGCAGATTGTTGCTAAATCATCCACCAATCTTGATCCCACATTTCTCCTCATAGAGCCCAGCCTCCAGGATAATCTGATCTGCATACAGGTTGAAAAGGTATGGAGCTAGGATGCATCCCTGGCATATGCCCTTCCCAATTTTGAACCATGCAGTGTTCCCTTGCTCTGTTCTGAGGACTGCCTCCTGGTCCAAGTATA